ATGGTTCAGCTCTCTGCAGACCTATCCTATTTATACTAAATAAAGAGTACAAAGAATACTGCATATAAAATTCTTGTTTTTCTCATAATTGCCAGTTTAAATGGAAATTTATGCCTCTTTCTTCTTAACACAGATTTTTTTAAAGTAATTTTTTGATGAAGAATGGTTTTAATACTGTTTTTTACTGAGTTTATGTGTTTTGATCAGTTTTCAGTGTGCCACTGCTGAAATATTGTGCTCGCTCTCTCTAATTTTTTTTTTCCCAGAATCTATTATACCACCTAGTGATTTTGATAATGATATCCAGGCCATGGTCACTATTCCTCTGGCAGGCCCTGATTTGGTAAGTTAATACTGTTTGTTATGTTTGTTTATTTCTCCGTGAGAAATGGAATTAAACAGTGTTAAGATGTACATAAAGATACAGAAAAAGCCTCTTATGCTAAAATACATATCTGCCTTTTATAAATGCTGTAAGGATTAATGTTGTGGTGTTATACTGCAACAGAGATACTGTTTAGAGCATTTATGGGTGAATATCATAGAATCATAGAATAATAGAATAGTTTGGGTTGGAAGGGACCTTAAAGATCATCTAGTTCCAACCCCCCTGCCATGGTCAGGGACACCTTCCACTAGACCAGGTTGCTCAAAGCCCTGTCCAACCTGGGCTTAATTACCTTTTCCAGTTTTAATTACAAAGTAAACAATGCCTCACCAGTTCAGTAGTACAACTCAATGACAGAATGAGACAGTTAACAGGGATAGTGAAAGTCATCTTTCTTTGACCATTTTTAAAATTACAGGCAGTGTGATTAGGATCACATGCACATGCCAAACATTTTATACATCCCATGACTTCATGCTGAGTTAGCTGTTTGCAAGCTCCTGTGGCTAAAGATTATTGGCCTTTTTAGCAATAAAAGTTAAACATAATAACGAAAGCTGCTTTTAAAAAACTTTTTCAGGAGGACTCCATGAGGGTGGAACTCCCACTAGGTTACCCCAGCCCAGCAACAGTGGACCAAACAGGAGACATCTTGGTCAATGAATTTACAACTGGAATTGTGCTAAGTGGAGAGACCAGTGCCCCTGAAGACTTTAATAATTTTGTTTCATCTGAACCTGTGTTCCCTACCAAACCTTCCAGAGAACCATTTCAGGATAAATATCCTCCAGACACAGAAGATATCATTACTGACCACCAAAGTTTCACAGTGCCTTTCAATGCTCTGGGTAGCACTAGCAGTCCTCCAAAACCAGAGGACTCCTATTTGCCTCCTCCAGCAGATGATTCTGCTAGCAATGACTTAATCACTGATGGCTATGAGTCTCCAACGGAGCAGGTTACTACACTGGCAGTTTATACCACAGGTAGCTTTACCCCACCTAATCTCCTGCAAGCCGGAGATGAGAATAGTGAAGCTGAGGAGAACAAAGAACTGAGTGATATAACACAGCCACCTTTCAAGGAAGTTGACCAAGATAGTCTGTCTGGACAAGGTAAGACACAAAAGATTTTTCCATAAGAGAGAGTAGGAGACATCCAGTTGTTATTACACATATAGTCACTTATAATTACAGTAAGCATTCCTTTCAGTTGTGACAGAAATTTTTCTGGACCATCAAAGGTGAAAAATTTACATTTCTGATGCCCACTTAAAGAAAATCTTAATGTACCTGACTTCAAGGTTGTCAAAGCAAAAAAAAAACCACCCAAACCAACAACAAATGCCTAAGGATAAGGCGCACTTTCTACAGGGTATTATGGTAAAAATTCAAAAAGGCAGAGCAAAAAGACATGTCAGAAAAAAAAAAAAAAGAAATCCCAGACTAACACAAAAAATTCTGGTATTTAAAATGTGGAAGGTAAATCAGGTTCTACAGATAAATCTGGATGATAGCAGCAAGAGTATCATGAAATCGTTTATTCCAAGCAAAGAGTACCAGGGGTCAGAAAAGTTTACATATCTACAGGTCTGATGAATGTGAAAAATGTCTAAAAATTTCTGGTTTTGATGTTTGTTTATTCAGTTTTATCCATACAGGACTGAGCAAGGCCTTTCATGTCCCACCCTGCACTCCTCTTGGAGTGAGCATAATGAACCCTCCTCCCCCTTTCAAGATGTTCCTCCTGACCCAGCATGCCCAGAAACAGCAAGAGGGCACCTTCATCCCTGCTGCCCAGCCACATCCTGTAAGGCAAATAGGCAATGTTTGCGTAGCTGATTGGAAATACCCCACTGCATGGTGATAACATCCTTCACAATGGGCCCACACAGCAGAAATGTGAGAGAGGGGAATGCCCATGTAGTGTACTGTCTATAGTATTGTTCTTTCTGGATCCAGTAAATAACAAGATCAGCGTTTTAAAGAACAAAGAATGTAAAGGCTGCCACTTGGGATCATACACTAATCAGCACTGGACAGGGAAGAGCATAGCATATTACATGGTCATGTTGTTGCACAAGGTAGTTTATGTACTGAATAAGAACTTCCTGTTCTATAGTCTTGCCTTTACACACACAGTTCTGAAATAAGAGAAAGGCAAATACTTTATGATTAGCAGAGTGACTTAAAGATTAGAAAATCAATTCTTATAAGAATCAATTGTGAAATGTTCCTGAAAATAAAGTTTATGATGACAAGTGTTAAACACAACTATTTTCAAATGCATGCTGAGAAGTCTTGTAATGCTGCTGATAAAAGCACAGCATACCTTCAAATAACAGTACATCATACCTTTAAATAACATTCATTATAACTGTGGAAAAGTGTAACATTTACAGGGGAAAAAAAAGTCATATGCATTTTTCGTTCTATTCATTCATTGGGTTAGGGATTTAATGTCATAAAAACCACATAAAACCACATATCTATTTTGCAATTTGCTAAATAGCTGAAAAAACCTTGTAGCCTAACAGCTCCAAATGACTGAAGAGAAGCAGCAGAGGGTATTTGACTCACCAAAAATGCAGAGCAACTTATGCTGAAGATACTAGTTCCATTCTTCTTCTTCAGATCAAAAATTGTGAAGAATTTCTTTATTGCAATTTATTATAGTTACTGTCTGATTGTTTTTCACTGGATGGGAGGAGGGATACAGAAGATGGACCTCTCTCTGGCCCCAAGGTTCAAGCTTGCTTGATCATTCCACAGTGACAGTGCGGGACCACAGTTCATTTGACTCTTGCACAGGCTCTGATACCTCAGATCAAAATGGGGATTAGATTATGTGTTCCTAAATGATCCTCAGAGACAATACATTGCACAGTTTAATGATTTTCAATGTCATCAGGCAAATATCAGGACCAAGGGAAATTTTAGAAAGGATAATACAAATGGACAGTTCACTGCTTACTAACCCAGATATCTTTAACAAATTTTTCTCATATAATTTGTAATTCAGTAAAAAAATACATAAAGGTTTTTCTTCTTCCTAAAGCCATTATTGCCAGTGCCCAAAGAACATGGATTTGTTCGCTTAAAGAGGTGTGGATCTTCTGTAAGTGCAAGTTTGATCCTCTAAGCACCTGGTGCTGACCCTTTAAATACTGTTGCACATTTGAGTTGGAACCTGTCAATCTGCAAAACAGAATGAACTGTCTACAGCTGTAAAAGAAAGGTTCCCCAAAATAAGGCCCACTATCTTGTTCCTCCTTGTGGAACACAAGTTATGTCCAAAACAAGCACTAAAATATAAGAATTCCATCATCATCTCTGCAGCTGAGTAGAAGGAGAAAAATTATTGTTCCCTGTCTAAAAAGAAGGGATGCCGTGTTAGCAATGACACAAAGCTGTAGTTATTATATTTGCTTAAAATCTTAGAGTACACAAAACATACTGCATGCTTAACAGAAGAGAGATGTTGAAAATCTGTGTACTGAGTTCTTAAGAGTAAACAGTGTATACTTTTTAAAACTTTTTCTCTTTTTATAACTTTTTCAATTCTGGAAGTCCTGTGTACAGCATTCCCTGTATTCTTTTATTTCCCTAGATGTTGCATATTTGATAGGAGCTGATAGAATTTGGTCTGGAAATTCAGGACTTCACAACATTTATGACAGAGGTTTTATTAAAGTCAACAGTGTCGGTGATATTAATTTTAATACGGCAAACAGAATTCCTCACTAGCAGGTACAGAATTTTTCACAATTTGTGCCTGGCTGCATTTCATAGCCATGTTTCTTAGTAATATTTAAAAAAAAAAAACAAACAACTTTTAACCGTTGCTGGTGTGAAACGGCAGGAACTACCTAGTGCTGTATAAGGTTGGACAGAGGGTCAGGGTTTAAACAGTTCCCTGCAATTCTACTACATTAATTTCCAGACATTTCCCCACCCTACAGTCCAGAAGATGGAACAAATTTTCTTCCTCACATATTTAGAACTTTAAATTCACTCTTCTTTACCATAAAAGGAGGAGCTGGCTAGCAGAAATAACGTAGTTTGAGATTCTTTTAGGTGTCCTCATCATCTGTATGTTTCACAGATGGACTTTATTGCATTGGTTACGTGTGTGTGTAACTACAGGCTGAACGTTACTACAGATTCCTGAACACTGAATGTATACAACCTACACCAACTATTTTAATTGTGCCTACCTGAGCAAAGCAATAACAAAAAATTATTTCACAGCTCCCAAAAATATAAACAGACTCAGCCTCACACACACAAATTTCTGCATACATCATCTAGGGAAAGGAGAGTAAAAATCAGGTGAGGGAAGAGGAGTCAAACTAACAAGAGGTGTCCTTTTAAGCTGTGTAGGATGGGATTTGTCAGGCTTGGGCAGATAGTGGGAGGAATGAGCCTGGAGCAGAAGTGAAGCTTCTTTCAGATGGCACTGTGTTCATTTTGGACAGTGATGCTGTCCATGGGCAGTAAAGAGCAGAGCAGTGATTAGACAGCTGTGCTGGCCAAATGGTGATGGCAGTTACTCCACCCCTTGAAGTAGCCCAGAAGTACTAGGAAGATGCTAAGCTGTCTTTAAAGTAAGCCTAGCCTTTGAATTTCAAATTCTGTTTTGAGATTTCTTAATAGAATTAAGAGAAAAACCCTGGTACAAATTTCCAGACCTCTTACTGAAAGTTCTGAAATGCCTGGATCAGATGTCATGGTTTAAACATTTGACTACTCGAAAAGGTTTTTCTTTGCTGTAACACCTTCAAAATCTAGGCTATTTCCATCTTCCACTTACAACCAGAACAAAAAATCTGCTTTTTTCTACTGTCTATGATGCCTGTTCAGTGTTCTCTAGCATTCCTCTTTCTTCTTCATATTTTTTTTCCCCTCTGGAGTTAACTCATCAATATGTTTTCTGTATGGTTAAATTTCTTCTCCCTCTCTTTGCAGTATTCCTGTGACTCTGTCTAAAACAGTACGACCATTCAGAAAGGAAGCCACTTGTGTAATGTATTAGACAGATTGTATTTCAAAAACCAAGAAAATTTCAGCAGTAAAACAAATGCAAACAAATGTATAAACACATAAAAGAGTTCATGAAGTCTGTAACAACAATAATGATACACTTTTACTTCCTAAACAGTAAGAAGAATTTTAATTTCCATTTGTTTTAATTGTAACTACTAACAAATTATACAACCTAGGTAAATGGTTATCCCAAAATCGTGACTGTCATGGAGGAAGCAATATTTCTGGAGAAGTTATTCCAGAAGCTTAGGGCAAAATAAAGCTAGCAGTAAAATACTTTAGCTATTCTGTTGTACTACATCTCAGTCTCACCAGCCTGGATCATCTTCAAGCTCTCAAGAAAGACTGTGAGAGAAGATGACTCTGCAGGGTGTATCAGAGTTTTTTCTGTGAGAAAAAAACACTGATGATGGTGGTCACATCTCTGTATATGTAACTGATAAGAACCTCATTAATTTCCATAATTTCTCTCACGCTCACACAGCTTTGTTGTGAGTGGTCCCCTTTGATACCTTCCTCCTGCCCAACAGTTAATTCAGTTAATTAGCATTCCTCACTCACTACTATTGCTAAGCAATCTCTAGAAAAGTTCAGTATTCTGGGTGTTTGGGGATTCTTTCTGCCTCTGCTTCATCCCCAGCTGCCTAAGCACCATTTGTGCTTAGCATAGCTTTCTATTTGGCATAACCAGCATTGTCATGGAAAACAAAACCCCATTACTTCTTGCAAGAACC